GGGATTAGGGTTTAGGGGTTTGGAGTTGAGGGGTTCAGGGGTTTAGGATTGCTTGCTTGAACGATCCCGGGTTTAGGTGTAGGAACTTAGTAAGCAGGGTTACAGTGTTGCAAGTCTGGCAACTACCACTAAGAGGGCTTGTAAGTATAAGCCAAAAGCTTTAATGTAGCCCATAGCCTTGCAGTTGAGAAGTCCCATGATCCTCCCACAACGTCCCTCGAATAGCTCCTGGCCCGCTACTGGAGAGGCTTACATCTATCTCTACTCGCTTTATTTGGCCGTGGTGGACATCATCTACCTTGTGGTCCACTATGGTATGGGCTGGTGGGACCAGACCAGGCCTGGCATCAACGTCATCGCATCGCACGTCAAGCTCGGCATCCTTCTGACCGTGATGACCGTGCCGGTCTTCTTCGACTATCCGGAGGATCGGCAGGTTGTGGCGAGGGCAGTGCAAATGGCAGAGGCGGACGGGGCTGGTACAGAGGAGCCTGCCGCAGAGACCACGGAGCCCGCGGAGCCCGCTCCCTGAGAAAGTGCGACTTCGGGCTCAGCGTAGTATCTACGCGAGGGTCCTTAGAGTCTTGGAAGCTATTGATGAATCAGATGTCCAACGCAACGCAGTGCAGGATGACCCTAAACCCTAAACCCTAAACCCTAAACCTTAAACAGCTATGATAACCGTAAGTTCAGGGTTAGGTTCGGAGCTCGGGTTCCAGAGTTCCTACGGGCGGTCTAGCGGCCTAAAAGGGCTATCAACCCGGAAGTGGCTGAGGGCTTTCGTAGGGTTTATGGTATATAGGGTTCAAGAGTCTCCGGCTTCAACCCCTTTTTGGGTTTAGGGTTTGGGGTTTAGGGTTTAGGGTTTGGCATTTGGGGCTTAGGGTCTAGGGTTGTGAAGCCCAACATCTTGACCTTTGCCAGCGGTTCGCGTGAAGTGACATGGAAGTTTTCATATCCTGGCAGAAATTTCCATGGCCGTTGTGCCTACTTTTTCTTCTGCCTTCATGCTATCATTAACAAGCTGTCTGTGAGTATTATGTCCCTCATAGAACGCAGAAAGGAATCCTGCAAGGAAGCTGTAAACCCTAAACCCTCAACCTGCGAGGGGAGATACTTCAAGTTACCATAGCAGGGATCTATAGTAAATAAGATGGTTCCTTATTCTGGTAACTTAATTTAAATCCTTTAGCAAGAACCCAGTAAACCCTAAACCCTAAACCCAGTAAACCCTAAACCCTAAACCCTAAACCCAGTAAACCCTAAACACGAAACCTCCTCTGAAGGAATTTTTGGACACCTTGCCAGCTCCAAGGAGGAGGCAGAGACGGCCGAACGCCTTTTTGGGGTTCTCTTGCTGTTTAGGGTTCAGGGCTTTAGGGGTTTAGTGCTTAGGTTTTGAGGTTCAGGGTTTGAGTTAGGGTTTAGGTGAAGTTCAGGGTTTGCCCGAGCTAAATGCTTCGGTTTTTGTTTTTTTTTTGCCTTGTCTTCTTGTATGCAGTGGCTCTGAGCGGCTTTATACTGTCTGCATAGATTTGCTTCTGTAAATTCGGGATCAGCGTTCGGGGGTTCGGGTCATTGGAGTGTTCATGAGGGGTTTTCAGCTGTTCAAAGGGCTTTTACGGTTTCAGATCTTCGTGCAATAAACCCTAAACCCTAAACCCCTAAACCCCTAAACCCCTAAACCCCTAAACCCCAAACCCTAAACCCCTAAACCTCTAAACCCCTAACCCCTAGACCCCTAAACCCCAAACCCTAAACCTTAAACCCCTAAACCTTAAACCCCTAAACCCTAAACCCTAAACCGTAAAAGGGGCTGTGGGGCGTCAAGCCGTTCTTCAGGGAGACAGGGGCTGACAGAGGTGGGAGGCCCAGGTCCAGCGTAGGATGAGGGTTGAGAGACGGTTTAGGGTTTAGGGTCAACGGTTTAGGGTTTAGGGTTTAGGGTTTAGGGTTAGGGAGAGTCTAGTATCTATAGGAATCTTTGGTTTAAATCATTTCGGAGTTGGGGAGTTTGGGGTTTAGAGTTTAGGAGGGATTCGCTTGGTTGGGGGTACTTGGCTGAAGGTTTGAGTGAGGCTTCAGGGACCGGGAACTCGAAAATCCACACCGCCCCCGGTACTCGGAAGTCTGTGGCAAAGGGGTTTGTGACACAAATGGGTCTTAGGGTTTAGGGTTTAGGGTTTCATTGCTTTAGCTTCCGAATCCTATACTCGAGAACGACACTGTGAAGGCCTCCATGCAGCTGTGTGCTGCATGCTTCAGAAGTCGAGTCTAAATCCTAAACCCTAAGCCCGAAGCTTAAACCCTACTCCGACCCCCTAAACCCTAAACCCCTAAATCCCTAAACCCTCAACCCTAAACCCTAAACCCCTAGACCGTAAACCCTAACCCCTAAACCCTGAACCCCTAAACCCTAAACCCTTCAAGGTCCTGAAGATGCGGGGGCCCATGTCTGCCCTAGAGTACGAGGCAGGGGTCAGGAGTCGACGGCTGGGGCTCTTGCAGGAAGTTCTTCTATCGAAGTAGAGTGATTTAGGGTTGAGGGTTTAGGGTTCCGGGTTTAGGGTTTTAGGGTTTAGAAGGGAGTTCCATTATGCAGTTGTTTCGCGGTGGGTGTTTTTTTGATTTAAGGTCTTAAGCTTAGAAAGTAGGCTTAGGGTTCAGAGCCCTGCGTCCAGAGCACGGCAGATTGGGGTTTCTGGCTATGTTCGAGGGCACGTGGAGACTTCGGAGGATTTAGGACTGCGTGTTCAGGGCCTGTAGTTTTCGCGGTGGTGTTGTTGTGGTGCCGGGGTGCGCTGAATCGTGCCCAGCAGCTGATGATATTGGTCTTTCGATGGTCACTAGTGGCTAGTGGCTAGTGTTTCATGCGGCAGCACGTTGTTTTCAATTTCTAGGCCCCTGTCTCGCTGCCCTAAACAGTACAACCAACCCTCATTTTCCTAAGGCGGGTGGATAGGTTCAGGTTTCAGATTCGGGGAGCCATCGATCTTCAGTCACACATCCAAAGCACTAACCCCGAACCCTAAACCCCTAAAACCTAAACCCTTGCAGGTCCAGGTAAGGCATCGGTTTACCTAGAGTCCCATTCGGTATATAATAATCATTAAAAGAGCCTGAATAGTCAGGGATTCATGATTGGGGTTCCTCTTGTACGCCTAGTATAGGCTATCTGTCTGTATATATATATATATAGGAAGGAAGCCTAGTATTCCAAAGTAAACCTGGTTATAATAAATCTGCCCCTCAGCACTACTCATCGCTACCGCCTGCTAGAGCGCCTGATCTGGACCGCTGTTGCACAAAACATATCAGGGCAAAACATTTATGCCCCAATATGTTTAATATGTTTAGTATGTTTAGTAATAAGTTCGAACACTTTGTGGGGGTTCTAACCCTAAACCCTAAACCCTAAAAGAGCCCGGATACAACTAGACCAGAGGCAGCCCTTCAGCGCAGGCCGTGCCCGGAGACGACATCGACCAGCAGGTGCAGCACTTTGCCAGGTGCGCCGGAGGGCCGTCCAAAACAAGCAGAGGAGTGCAATTTTAGGGTTTAGGGTTTGGGGTTTAGGGTTTAGGGTTTAGGGAAGGATTCTTGCTCCTAGGTATCACCCTGCATTTACACTGGACTCTATGTGATCAGGAGCCTCTATCACCACTTACACTCTTTCGTTCTACATCGGACGTCCATAGCGTGGAATGTCCTGAGTGTACCAAGACCCTTTCTCTGATCGGGCGACATATATGAAGCATCCGAGGTTGAAAGTTAAGGGTTCTGGCGTAGTAGTTGCAAGCGGAGCGTAGCGTTATGTAAGGAGTTGCTCACAGCTGGTATCTGCACCTGTTGCACAGCTCACCCCTCACGGCAAGTAGAATTGTCGCTATGGACTCAGCACGAACAAGCACGGGGACGTCGAAGCTTTCAAAGCTCACTGACCCCTGAATCTTTTGCTTAGGTGCGAGGCCATAAACTGCCAAGCGCTGCACCCTAAACCCCCCAATCTAAATTCAATTTCCTCAACCCCCTAAACCACAACCCTGAAACCCAGCACACGTCAACAACTCACGTCACTGAGTCCCAGTTGCAGGCAGATTCCAGAGCATCTCGGTGAGTGGCTTAAAATCTACCGCAAAGCTCGCGGAGAGTACGAGGCACACCAGGGCTCCGGGTTGAGATTGCTATGAAGGGGTTTGGGGTTTAGGGTTCAGGGTTTCGGGCGCGAAACCACAAAAACCTGAAACTATTCTGTGGCTGGATAAAGTCTGAAGCCAAGACGAAGGCTAGTTTTCGCCTTCAAAGCCTACATATCCTGAAGCCAACAGTGCATCCTAAGCCTAAGACCAAAGCCAAAGAACCCAGAGCCCTTATCAAACCCACGAAAGCTTATACAGCCCGAATAAAAATGCCTTGCAAAAGCCCTAAGCCCTAAGCAATTCTGATAACACCCTTCGAAAAGAGCAACAAAAAACCTCGTCCAACACAAGACAAGCCTTCACATCCGCTAAACCCTAGACCCAAACCTTGACCCCCTGAACCTCTAAACCTTAAGCCCCAAACCCCAAAACCTAACTCCTGAACCCTAAACCCCCAAACCCTCAACCCTAAACCCCAAAACCCTAAACCCCCCAAACCCCCCAAACCCCCCCAAACCCCCCCAAAAAATATCCGAGCCCCCAAAAGCCAGGTCAGCGACGAGGTGGTGCGCATGGCTTGGCAGTCGACCGTGTCGAAGCCCACGCCGCAGCATCCCGAAGGACAGATCCTACGGGAGGCCCCCGGGTTCGGTCTTTGAGGGGCTTTAGGGTTTGGGGTTTGGGATTTAAGGGGGGGTTTGGGGTTTGGGGTTTAGGGTTTAGGGTTTGGGGTTTAGGGTTTAGGGTTTAGGGGGGGTTTAGGGTTTAGGGTTTAGTTAGGGTTTAGGGGTTCCCTTAAACCCTAAACCCTTCAAGAACCCTTTCAAAGGATCCCTGTCAAAGGAACCCTTACCGGCTTAATGGTTCTTAGAAGGGTTCCTTCTAAAATTTTGGGTTTGGGGTCGAGGGATTCCTCCTCTTTGTGGCTTTGGGGTGCCTATAAAGGGTACCATCAGGGTTCGTATACGGGTTCCTACCAGGCTTTGGAGTTTGGGGTTTAGGGTGTGTGGGGTTTTTGGGGTTTAGGGTTTTGGGAGTAGCGTGTAGATTTTTGGGCTTCGGGTTAAGGGTTTTTAACCTTAGGACTCAGGGGTCCAACCAGAGCTTTGAGTTTCTACACCGGTCCTATGAACGTGGCTTCGGCGCTCGGGCTTGATGGATCCTCATTCAGACCGGTACTCCTTCGGGGTTCAGGGTGTAGGGTTTAGACTCTACTCTTTTGGGTATAAATTTCAGACTAAGGGCTCGGATTGGAATGAGCAAACTACCTGCAAACTTCATAGCTCCCAAAGAGGACAAGATCCGGCGCGATACGCGATCACTATTATTTCTTCAAGTCGTACATCCCAAGAAGACTCCGCCCAGAACTCGTAGCTCTCGACCCATCGTTTAA